TTTATAATGATTTTTATTATTATATATACATTAACCCAAAATTTTCTATTCTTAGAACTATTTTTTTTTTCAATTTAAAAAGGACCAACCTTGAGTACATTATTTTCAATAAAAATCAAAAAGAAATTGAAATCACACAAGCAAATCGATAATGTCTTATCAAACGGCAAGAAATGCCGTAACCTATGCAAAAAAAGTTATGAAGTTCCTCATTTTTGAAAATGGTTAAAAAAAAAGCAGTTAAAGTCGTCCATTACAGACGACACGCGAAGGGCAGTAAGTTAGCGTATCTCCGGACAGCGCTCGGCGCCGTGGGGTGTCTCCTGTCAGAGGTTGGTTTATGCAGATACACCTATTCGGAAAATTTGCTTCACACGCCCGTCCTCTTTGCTGAATTATTACTCTTAATCATACTTTCATTTATTTTGCTTTAATTTGTTTTCGGATTTCGATTTCGAATTCTTTGCATTTTTCATTTTGTTAATTTATTTCTGGCATTCTGATCATTATTTAAAACCTACTCTTTTATTTTTATTTTATGAGTTTTGTTAGTTTTTATCTGTTTTAAATGACTAGATTCAGTTAAGATAGATGACCCTAGCCATAAAGGTTTTGTTTCAAGTGTCACTGAACTTTTCGACTGCACGAATTGCATATTTAATGAATATAAGATTGTATCTAGATGTTGTGTTTTTACTTAAACTGGTGCTTTAATATGTTTAGATAAATTATTTGCGACAGGTACTACAAAAAATTAAAACATACATTAAATTAATTTGGATTTGCAAATATGCTCTTAACGGTATTCACACAAGTAGGTCCGTAATCATTATTGACTTATCATTGAATCGGCATTAAGGACTATTAAATTAAGGTAACTGGAACTTGCACCTAGGAATCTGCGCCGGGCGTATCGAATAAATATTAATACTACTCTGTTCTCATTAAAACATTCACAGACCGATGATTTACTCGTTTTAATTACAAGAAGTCTTCAAAAAACTATTTGGCCAGAGCACGTTCGCATATATTTGCCAGCTATACATCACCTGTTTTGTTTCGTTTAATTTATCGGGCGAGCTTAGCGGTATGGTAATGATTTTTGTTAATTACAACCCAGTAGTTGAATCCGGTTTAATTTAATTAAGATCCCAACTAATTTCACTATTAATATTCACTTTAGCATATGTTTGCTTTCGGCACTATAAGTAACCGGTTCTGCTAAATAAATCTGATTATTCTGAATAGTTAATGTTGTGGTCTTTGTATTCACATTGTTATAAGATATTGATCTTTCGTGGCATTAGGTTTATATTGTCTTCATTAAAATATTTGGCGGTACATGAATAAAGTATAACGTGTTCAAATATTTATTGGGAACTATAAAGTATAGGATCTGAAGTTTTATTACAGTATTAGCTTGCAAATATGCTTTAACGATCATTAATTTTATGTTGCACATATTATCATATACCCATATTTATTGAAAAAGTTGAAAGGCCTGCGACAACGATTGCAACCTGGACAGGACCAGTTGTTGGTACATCTGCTTTACATGTAAAGCGATTAATATTTTTGTTCGTAAGAAAAAAGTGATCTTTCGTTGGTTTGGAACGCGGGATAGGCTATTAAGGACTTACCTTCAAACCACTAATTATTACATTTTGTTCGCCTACAATCCTACAATCTACTTATCTAGACTGGGTCTAGGTCCTTGCTCAGATTTTGTAATAGTTTTTCTGGTGGCTAAGACTGTATTTCTCGTTCGTGACAGCTACCGTCGTTGTAAATTGTACCTTACATTATTAAACAAGGTTTATATTGAAGATTAATGTTGAGTGCACAGTGTCATCGACAACAGGTATCAGCTCACTCACCTTGACCGCGCACGTTGTCCTCTCACTTATAGAATGATCATAGACATCTTCAGTAGCATGTACCCTATGACTTCTTCATTTCCTATTATATAGTCATTAGCTCATGTAATGGGATATTTGTTGAAACAACAACCAAAGATATTTTTTTGGAAACTTTAGTACAGCTTAGTTTTTATTTGATATGACAATGAAAGATTTATGGCTAAGTATAGATCCTTTTTTATTCGTTCTTTAAATTTTTGATTTAAATCAACATTGATTTGTATGAATTTCAAAACGTATGTATGAGACCGTGACTTTGTTTTTTTTTTCGCCGAAAATACAGGACTGTATCTTTTTATGTTGTCTCGAGGATGAATTTTGATGCGGGTTGACGTGGAGACTGTTTTTGATTGTGGTTCATTTTGTCGTGTTACTGAATTCATAAGTGAAGACATGACGTCAAACATTTTTTTAAATCATAATAAGCGTTGAATTTATTTGATTTCCACACGAGTCGTTTATTTAAATATAATCATTTTGCATTTGTTTCGTTGATAACTTTTTCAATTTATACCAATGAATGGACCGGCACTCGTATTACACGATTCATAACCACTCAATCGCCAAAGGAGATTCAATAGATCGCCTCTGGTCCTTCAGATTCAATGCTGATGTGATTGTATACATGTGCGGGAACGACTTTCATACCATGTTGTCGCCAATTAGATCGTGGCGTCTCGCTACACTGCCTGGAACTTATACCATTCACTTTAATCCAAGATCGATTCACCTATAACTTCTTGCTCAATACATTATTTAAAAAATTGTTTCAAACTTTTTTTTCAAGATTGAGAAACGATTGTATACGGATTTTAGCTACACCACTTTTTAAGAAAAAAATACTAATACCTATTAGTGACGTAGGACGTTCCCTGTAAGATGCCTTTTTTTTTCTGTGTCGGGAATCCCCTCGGATACCACCCGCCGGTGGCTATGTCGGACTCGAACCGACTAACAACCGCACCCCGTTACGGGTACCAGTAGCCTGGGAACCGGGTGTACCCTAGAAAGGAAATCCCTGGTGCCCCGACGTACCTCGGACCATCTACGGCGGGTAGATGACCCCCTCCTGTGTAGGAACCCCCATGTTCCCTTTGTGCTCCCGAAAGGGCATCTCAGACAGATGGCCTCACCTGTCATCCCCAGGCCTGCGCTTATGGAGGACGGAGGTCGTTCTGCGACCTCCGGCGCCTGAGTCGTCTGCGGTACTTGGCCCGTGCCCGGGCCTGGCGGGCCGGGAGAGTTCTAAACCTCTCCCAGTCCTGCTTTGCCATCTCCTTCGCAAGCATAATTTGCTCGAAGAAGGAGACTGCGGAGTTCCACGCACTCTCGCTCCGCTTCATGGTCGCAATCATGTTACCAAGCGAGATGTTCCACCCCGTATAAAATGCCTCTACGCTTAAAACACAATCATACATCACTATTCTTACTTGTTTACTAGACTTCTCAGTAGACTTGGATATGCATTATCGTAGTATAAGTATTACTGTTTAGTATAGTTTTTCTGTAGGTATAAGTATACTATGATTATGATTATGTTAGTAACGACTATAAGACCAGCAAAGCGGGAGTGAGTTGAGCTGCTATAGTTGTGTGTGTATACTATATATCGGTAATCGCTGAATATCAGGTGTGTCGGGTTTTAATTGATTTTACAAATAAAAATACCTACTGGTTTCATTAATGACCGACCGCCGCCTGTTAGGAATATTTTCAGACGGAACGAGGGACAGAACGTCATCATAGTAGAATAATGTCGGTTTTGAAAAAAAAATACGAAATTCAGTTTTAACTATATTTGGATACTACATTGTCCAAATATTATTCCTACATTCAAGAAAAAATATATGTATTTTAGATTTTAAATTATTCAGTGTTTGTTTGATAGGCGCTCAAAGTAAAATGAAGCATGTGATTCTTCTAGAAAATTGTATAATTATTAGTGAAATGGTGAAATTTGGCTGCATACCAATACAAATATTGTTTTCAGAAACAAGATACGTTTAAAGCTTATTATTATAAAGGTCAAACAGCGTTAAAGGTCAGATAATATTGGTTGGGCAGTAACTCGCCTTACTAGTACTCTATTTTCTGCGTCCTGTTATCAGTAAAACGATGATAGCATTTGGTCGATAGCTCGCCTATTGCACAACTTCGTGGGCTTATCTTGGAATGCAGTTACCAGTGCACTTAGTTTATCATCAGACATGAAAAAAGTGGGACGTTTTATTCATCTTTTAATAATAATTATCTCGTGACAGCGTTGTCGTGCCAATTAATAGAATCAGTTAAATTGTTTTCCTGGCGGAACAGGTCTGCGTAGTGCAGTGTGTCGCTCGGTGTCGCCTGTGGTCATCGGCCCCCATCGGTGAGTTTCGCAAGTCCAGTTAACCGTATGAGTCGATCACATTAATATTCTACGGTGGACTTTATTGCGATCCTAGTGTTTGTCCCCACCATTATAATTATCGATATATTAAGTTGAGTTTTCATATGGTTTTCCCCGAAGTTAACCTTAGAACGAAAACATAAAAAGTGCCTAGGGTACCTATGGAACTACACTATATGTTTAAATTTATTTACACATTAATGCAAAGCGTAGTGTGAAGTAATGAGACAAAGACATTCCGTACTGTCGAGACGGGAGGGAATCTTCAGCAAAGGGCTGTGCCCAGACGGCTTTCATCGAGTGTAAATGCGTGTCGCACAAAAAACGGATAGACAGCCAATAAAAACCCTGTATGGAAAGAAGCCGAGGGGCGGGCGAAGCGGGTGCAGTGCGCTGCGCCAGTAATTGCAAGTTGCAGTCGCTATCCGCCGCGCTGGGTGCGCGCACGCAGCCTCCAACATCCCTCTGTACCGCCGCGTCGGGTGAACGACTCCCCAATAAAGTATGCGTACGATTGAACAACGCCACACGCGTCTTACACCCGATCCTTGTTTTCACGATCATTGATCATATTATATGTTTAGTCCCGTTAGCCGTTAGTTTTGCGTGTGTTTTGTTTTCGCTTCGTCGGTCACGTATTATACGTACCTTAGGGGTAGTGTACTATTGCCAGGTGCAGTTTGGTCGTCATCATGACGTGAGTTGACCTAGCAACAATATTTGCGTTGTCTATATCTAACGATGATTGTAAAGAATTTTCATGTTTTGTTGCAGGGCGAGCACTGTCGCTAAAGTATCAGCAGCGGCCGGGGATTCGGGCACCCCGGGCCCAGCGACAGAAGACGCCGCTATGAAGGGCGTCGAAGCCACTCCAGAAGAACAAGAACGGTTAGCAGTTGGGAATAATAATGGCTCACTGGATTGTAAACATACGGCCCCACGGCCGCAGCCGATCGGGCATCGCTCAGTCTTCCACTCGACGCGTGTTTTCATGCTCGTATTCCTTTCGGGTTGGGTGCTTCAAGGAATGTTTCTCACTTACTTCGTCAGTGTGACGACGACTGTAGAAAAATTGTTTAAAGTAGAATCCAAGACGACTGGCACATTATTGGCGGCGACTGAGATAGGACAAATATGTACAGCTTTATTCCTCACATACTTGGCGGGGCGAGGGCACCGGCCGCGATGGATCGCGTGCATGATGCTTGTGCTCGCCGTGGGCGTGATCGGGTGCGTGATGCCCCATGTGTTCTATGGCACGAAGTTACTCGATGTGCACTTGGATGCACATAGAGCGGGTGCTGCACCTGTTTGTCATTCGGCCCAAAATTCGTCTATGTGTGACGACGAACATGTTAAGAGTCGAGACACTCGCTCGAATATTACGGCGGTCGTGATTCCATGGCTATTCATCTGCCTGCTGGTGGTGGGCGTCGGTCAGACTGGCATCGCCACCCTTGGAATCCCGTACGTAGACGACAACGTCGGCAGCAAGCAATCGCCGCTCTATATGGGTGAGTAGACATTTTTAATGTTATAGCTACATTGAGAGTTTATATATTATGTTCAATGAAATAAGAAGCTGCGGTGGAGAATCATTTGCGCGTGTTCTCTGCACTCAGCAGCTCCATGAAGACTTGGTCTAATATGTTGTCTCATTGTTGATTTGATTTCTAGCGTTTGGTTACTAAACTAGCGTAACAGCGTTATAAGTGTACAAATAATAGACGCCGCCTATGGCTTCGCCCACGAGATGCTCTGCCGGCCGCCCTTAACTGCTCATGTTATTAACTGCTGACTTAAATGCAACTTGCACTTCCCTTTAATTAAAGTATTACGCTTAGATTTCATAATACATAAACATACATTAAATTATTCTTAATGTAATTTTAATTATTCTTAATTAAAATTTTATTAATATATAATATTATATATTATATCAATTACGTGTATGCTACTAAGACAACTAACAATATATGTCTTGAGACGTGATAGTACATAAAGTAAAGAAAACATTAAAAGGTTACGAATCATGGTCCAAATTATATAATGTCTAGGTTATGCTAAATAATTAATAACTACATTGTTAAATTTTATTTAAAAAACACGGTCTAAAGTACATGCCTCATTATACTTTTTCTGAATATAAGTAGAAAAATAATATTTTATTAGGAAGGGTTAAATTGAATACCTATATCGTTACAGGCTGCGCATTTTGTGTACCCACATCGTTTAATAATAGTCATTTTACAACCAAAACATGTAAGCCCTTAAAACCCTGCCAGGAAACATAAACAGACGTGTCATGTACAACGGGCACAAAAACTCTAAACAATAGGTGTTTGGGTGTGGTGTATAGTGGTGCACGAAAGTGCTTGGTTTTATGCATGTATTGTTGTGTCTGCATCGTATCTAACGACTCTACTGCACTACTGCGATAACATATAGACGAGGTTCCATTGACAGCGATAAGCGGGTTCAAGGATATGATGATACAATTATCCTGTCTGCCACCTGCATCTGTAAAACCACCGTTAAACATATCGACGCCATTACTTAATCCCGAGTCGTTACGATACAATTCTATTAAATATTTCCCGAAGCTATACTCAAGGGCGTATAATTTTTCATTGATATTTATCCTTATGTACCTTTTTTTTTTTTTTCCGTGCGGAAATCCCCTCGGATACCACCTGTCGGTGGCATGTCGGACTCGAACCGACTAAAACCGCACGCCTTCGCCGGGTACTAATAGCCGGGGAACCAGGTATACCCTAGAAAGGAAGGCCCTGGTGCCCCGACATACCTCGGGTCATCTACAGACGAGTAGACGACCCCCGCCCCGTGTGGGAACCCCATGTTCCCTGTGCTCCCTGGAAGCGAGCGCGCTTCGCAACGCGCTCGCCGCCACCCCGGCCTGCTTCTGCTAGGGTGACAGATGGCCTCACCTGTCACCCCCAGGCCTGCGCTTATGGAGGACGGAGGTCGTTCTGCGACCTCCGGCGCCTGAGTCGCCTGCGCTGCCTGGCCCGTGCCCGGGCCTGGCGGGCCGGGAGAGTTCTAAACCTCTCCCGGTCCCGCTCCGCCGTCTCCTTCGCGAGCATAACTTGCTCGCAGAAGGAGACGGCAGAGTTCCACGCACTCTCGCTCCGCACGATAGCCGCAATCAGGCTATCGAGCGAGAGAACTCCCACTCCGATGGCCGCCACGAGGTCTCGCCTCTGCTCAACCCACGCCGGGCACTCTGCCAGCGTGTGGAGAGCCGTGTCCACGGTCTGGCCATCGCAGTGGTGGCACTCAGGCGTTGGCTCCTTGCGGATCAGACACAGGTGATCTCCGAAACATCCTTTCCCAGTGATCACCTGCGTCAATCGGTATGAGAGGGTCCCGTGACGCCTCTCGAGCCAATCCTCCATAACGGGTCTTACCGCCGCAATGACGGCGTGCCCGTATCCTTATGTACCTACGATCTGTTTGCTTATTTTCAGTAGAATTAACATTCATTCATGATTACATGGTCTAATTTGGTAGGTCTAATCTTCTACAGAAAATAAACGATTTGTTAATTTCAATTCAAAACTGCTAATGCTTTTTTTAAATTTCCCAATGAAAAATCCTGATAAATATTATGTGTTCGCTTATTTTTTCGATATAGCTTAATTTACGCTCATTAATAATTATCTAATCTGCTAAAAATGCGTTTAATGATCAGCGGTTTAGTAGTTAAGACGTGAAATTTTATCAATTATAATATTAATTAGGATTAGTCGACAATTTCAACCAAATAATTATTAAAATGTCCGCTATCACTAGAACATTGCCTCAAATCGGCCTTGTAACCATTTTCTTTGTTGACTATGGGACTACTATATTCTGTATGCCGCAACTAGCACAGAAATGGGTTTAAGTGCCCTTTATAATGCATATTCTGTTTTCATATCTATTTCAGACGCTCTCTTATCATTCTGACCCCACTGTGTCTTCTTTAAAAGGTCGTTGACAAGACTGACTTCTGAGCCAGTTTAGAAGTATTTTGTTTACGAAAGTATAACTTAGCACGTAGTTTAAAGATAATTTACTTGTGTTAGATCAGAAACACGTTTAGCAAATGTCATCATAGTATTAAATAAACTTGTGAACGATTAGATAAAATGTTGTATAATTGTGCGATTGTTTTATCTAGGCCAGTAATTATCGTTGGACTCATTCAATGTGTATTTCAATTATGAGTTTATTTATCTCTGTTTTTAGGAGTAATGGGTCATGAGAATGTATATACCTTCTATCCCTTTGTGGTTTCCTTTTTATTTATTTTTAGAGATGAGAAAAAATTCTGCGTTATAACTGATGTGTTCGTTTTCCTCGAAATGACTCCTCCAATTTGCGAGTTAGATTGTTAAATAAATAATGTGTTGGTTCCACGAAATGTTTTTAACATGGTCGTCATTGTTTTTTTTCTTAACTAGAGTATTGCAGACAGCTAAGGGTTACATACTATATGAATGTTATAAACATCGAATTGTATTTCTTGGGTACCAACACAAAGGGTGACAACGCACTTGTGGCTCTGGAGTTGTAGGTGTCCAAGGGCGGCCTTAGACACTTATCATCAGGTGACATATCATTTGATCGTTTGCCCCTATGCAATTAAAAATAGTTCCACTTACGTATGCCTTTTGCCGTCGTGTGGGCTCTCCAGGAATCATGGGAAAAATAGGGTGATTATTCAATGCAAAGGTAGTTGAGAAAGTTTTGTAATAGTACGAAACGGATAAATTGTGATGCAAATATCATCACTTTATACTTACACTGCCGGATTGCAAATTTTTCTTTTTTTAAAGACTACTAACGTACTACGAATCTTATCATGTGTCTTACCAACACACATGAAACGGACACAAAGAACACCTAGACTCAGAACCACAATTTGTGGATCACACAAAGTGTTGTCCCATGCGGGTATCGAACCCAGAACACTCAGCGCAGTAGAAAGGTGGTGGTGGAGGTGACCGCTTAAACCACTTCGCCATTTGTGCAGTCTATCAGTCGATAACTAGAGATTGACTATTCTGAACGTCTTGTTTCATTTCCATGACCAGTATATTTCGAACTGTCCTTGCGACTTTTTTACTATAGCAGGTAATAATATAAAGTGGACATTTATATTTTAGCCGTTTTTTACATAATTTTTAAGTTTATAGCACAAATCATTTAAAAAATTTTGCTGTCTGCGCTTCTTGTTTTTTTTTTTAAATATCAAATGCTTTCGTCCGCCATATTCTTTTAAAAAAGGTTACAAATAATTTTTTTGCACGTATTAATTTATATATTAGTTTAAATACATGCAAACCAAATAATTGTGGCACCTGAACACTGTTGAATAACAATTGCAATAATTTTAATATAATATATCTCACACATCTCACACACGGCCGTCTGATCCCAAACTAGGCAGAGCCTGTGCTATGGTAACGAGACTGCTGATAAGCATTTTTAAACAGTTTTAAATACATACATATTATAGATAAATTACACCACAGAACAAATGACCTTGCTCATCACACAATATTTTTCCTGGGTGGGAATAGAACCCACGACCTCCAGCTTATCGGTCAGGGTCACTAACCACTAGACCAACAGGCCCGTCAAATTAAACTAGTATGGTGTTACGTATCTATTTTTAAATAAGATTTTTTCTATTGATTATATCTCACATTAAATGTAATTTGCCCCACCACTGAGTTTTAATAACTTGATCAGAATAAAATAAAAATAAATAGTTTTATAGAAATGTTTTTTGGGGTTTATGAAATATTATATATTATATAATAGTCTGTATGAATGCAAAACGTATAAACAATTTTTAATCATAAATCATTTATCCGTGGGGTAACTAAACGGATTAAGAATACGTAGTGTTACTACCCCTATCCAATCGGTGTCGTAAGAGTCGACTAAGGGAGCAAACTACGCAGGACAGCCGCACTGCAAAGAGAAGGAAAACTTGAAACAAACCCTATACTCGTACCAACCCGTCTGGCCAGCGTAGTATAGTAGGCCAAAACCTTTTGTCCAAGGAGAGGGCTATGTCAGTGGACAATTAAAGGCTGTTGATGATAATAAATTCAATTATATAAATTAACCTAAATAAAGCTCGGTAACTAGTCACGGATATTCATTGATTGAGCATTGCGCTGTGGATTATGTGGGTTAATTATTTGACGTGATAGTGACCTTAAAGCACGCGGGAGATTTGTTACTAGATAGGGCACCACTTGAATACATTACTGTCAATTAAAAACACATTTGTAGTGTTGATAGATTCAGTACCTTAACTGTCCAATGTTATTTTAATACATTTATACTTGTTAAACTATATAATAAATCAATAACTATTTTATTAGACGTTGTAGTGTGATATTTTTAATTTATGTATACTAATAAAATAAAACTCAAAAAATGATTTCTTTGTTTGTTTTTGCTAATCTCTAGATCTGTCAGTTAGATTGAAATG